TTTAACATCTAATGTTTGGATTTGTCCCACTGACCTTTTCTCTCAGCAAGTTCCCCTAAAATTTGGGATGATATTTGGGTGAATGTCTTAGGGTTTATTGCCACATGAAACTAGTCCTAGGACTGGAATTACAGTCTGAGCCTCCCCACTGGAGATTATCCAGCCAGGACAATGACAGACGGTAGAGGAAAAGACCAAATAAGACAGAATCAGATTGAGAGTTGAGACCGAACAACTTCTGTCTTTAGTCCTTGAACTCCTGACAAGAGGGGGATATAGTAGTAGAAAGGTAGGGGAACTGATATCAGAAATGGAGTCCTCTACAACTCAGGGGAGGGTTCTACTGGAGTAGGGAGAGGTGGCCATATAAGCCTTAGTGGAGGTGAGGCTAAAGGGCAGAAGTCCCCAGAAAAATCCACAGCCGAGTTCTCTTATCCTGGAGCAGCAACACAGTGGAATGGGGAGGAGGGGATCCTTTGAGACTGAGGCAGCTGGAAGAATTTTGACCTGCTTGGGGCCTATTTGATTGAAATATACGGGCTCAAAACAGTAGAGAAGGCTTTAGCTTGGGGGTCAGGTGAGATCAGTGGGGCTGTCTACATGTCAGCATTACTAGTGTGTCTTTTGGCTGGAGGTGTCAGGGCTAGCAAGGTATGGAGTGAAGAGCCGCTAAGGCCTAGATAATTCTCACTCCAGCTTACTATGTTCAACTAAGAAGAGCATTAGCCCTGTGCCCAGCTCCAGCTGCCACCTATGGCTGTTTTGGGCACTCCAGCTCCTTTGGCCCAAAAGCAGCTTTCCTCAAAATTCATCCATCCATCCCTGATTCCTGTGAACCAGTTTTCCTTTGTTTTCTACAGCCATGGCCTGGCAATACAGACTATGAAAGTGAGGAACAGCAGCAATTTCGTAGCATTTTCAAGCAGATAGCAGGTGATGTAAGTACTTCCAACCCTAAGACTCCCACAGGAGCTTGCTTTTCTACTTGATTAACTGTTCAAATTACCATTCTTTCATTATTGTTAAACAGACATCATTTTGGATTTTGGGCATGAATGTATGCAGACAGAAACCTACAAGTCCTTGAGTTTTGGACTGACACATCCACTGGGGAGCTCAGAGGCCTTTGTCCTATGTGTTAGCTGCCCACTGTCTATACAGCTAAAGGTGCATTGTCTGTCCCCATCTTCCTCAGAAGAGCCTTAGCTTCCCCTAACAGAATCAAAACAGGGATTTCACAAAAGCGAATAGCTGGGATTTATTTTGCAAAGTCTCTGCTCTATCAGCTGCTTTACTCTTGAACCAGGACTCTTCTCCTTTTCTCCTCAGGACATGGAGATCTGTGCAGATGAACTCAAGAATGTCCTTAACACAGTTGTGAACAAGCGTGAGCTACTCAAACTAGGTGTGGGGGAGGGGCTGGGGTCCAGTTGTCTGAAAGTGGTTCCTCATTCTTCTCCATGCCCCCAGACAAGGATCTGAAGACACAAGGGTTCACGCTGGAGTCTTGCCGTAGCATGATTGCTCTCATGGATGTATCCTTCCTGTCAACCCTTCCCAACCCTTTGGTGTCTGCCCACAGGAGCCAGGAAAACCAGGGATGCCTAGTCAGGCAGAGGGCCCAAATTTGGGCCCAGGGAAGGAGATCCTGACTCAACATCTGAAAGTGTTGTTTTGGTTTTTTTGGGACTCAGACATCCTATATACTGGTTTAAAAAGAATCAGAAGGATGAACACTGGGTTGTGGCTGGCCACATCCCCAGCTCTTAATTCAAGCCTGAGATCCTGCTTGAAATTCTATCTAAACATGAAGGATCCTTAGAGGGCAGGCTTGTTATGAAGCCTGCAGGAACTTTATTGGTGGTGGTGGTAGGGTGTTTAATAGCAGGATAGGGCAGGGGGTAGGGGAGTTCAGGTAGAGGCTTCCTATGGGGCTACCTTCCCTGCAGAGTCCCCTAGCCACACCCTCCCAGTCCAGGGGGATTTTGCTATGTGCCAGTAGCCCTGACCTTCCTCCTCCAGACAGATGGATCTGGGAGGTTGAACCTGCAAGAGTTCCATCATCTATGGAAGAAGATCAAGACCTGGCAGGTGTGATGAGAGCGTAAAGTGTGGGAATGAAAAAGAGGGTTGATTTAGGGATTGTGAATGTGACCTTCCTCAAATTTTCTATTACCAGAAAATCTTCAAACACTATGACACAGACCAGTCTGGCACCATCAATAGCTATGAGATGAGAAATGCTGTCAATGATGCAGGTGCTGGGAAGAAAGGGGGTGGCAGGCATGTGGACTATAACTGGTGGGTGTGAGAATGGGAGAGGGGACTAAGCTACTAGGACCCTACTAAAGAAAGGAAAGTTTCTCATTTCCATTTTTGAGGACAGTATGCCTAAAGGGTTAGAGGAAATAGAATGGGGTCTAAGAATTCCAGTTTCACTTTTGTCCTCTATCCTGCCCCTTCACAGGATTCCACCTCAACAGCCAGCTCTATGACATCATTACCATGCGGTACGCAGACAAACGCATGAACATTGACTTTGACAGTTTCATATGCTGCTTCGTCAGGCTGGAGGGCATGTTCAGTAAGTGGGGACTGCCCTTCTGCTCTCTAGAGTACTTCCAGCCCCCTCCCATGGGATAGCTCTGGCAATAGGAAGCCAGATAATCTTCCAGTCTACTCTGTCCAGGCTGAACAAAGGCCAAAGCCTCTTTAGACCTAGAAAAGGATGGCAAAGGAAGGGTTACTGGTGATGCTCTGCCTGCAGATAATCCTCTTAAAAACATGTGGTCCTCTTAAGAAAATTGAGTAGTGAAGTTGGAGTGAGCCTGTAACAGGCCTCTGGCCTGTGTTTTCTTTTACACAGGAGCTTTTAATGCATTTGACAAGGATGGAGACGGTATCATCAAACTCAATGTTCTAGAGGTAAAGCATAACAGATGCAGCACACTGACCCTGCACCATAAAATTCAATTGGATGGGACTGGGGTGGTAGCTCAGTGGTAGAGTGCCTGCTTAGCACTTGTGAGGCCCTGGGTTTAATCCCCAGCACCCCATAAAAATAAAGGTATTGTGTCCATCTACAACTAAAAATATTCTTTAAATGTTTAAAAAAATTCAAGGTGGGCAGTAAATGAGGCAGAAATGGACCCACTCTGCTCCTCACTTCCAAATGGTAGTGGAGGGATGGGACAGGAAGGAAGCCTGGTGGGAAAGGTAGTCCACAGGACACATATACTTAGCAGAGGCTCACAAGGGACCTCAGCTTCCCAAATAATTTTATGTTGGAAAACATGTTACCTCTCTGGTCTGTTCCTTTTCCCCCATCCCATAAGATTCCTAGGGCTGGGGTTTCCTTTTCTTGTCTACATTCTGATCTTGGAACTTCTTCTTTCAGTGGCTACAGCTCACTATGTATGCTTGAACCAGGCTGGCCTCATCCAAGGCCATGCAAGATCACTCAGGATTTCAATTTCACCCAATATAGCTAGAGTCATTTACCTCAAAGGATCCAGTAGCTGCATCAGCATGCTTCCAGGCACCTCTTTGATCGTGTTCTGCCTCCACTTTGCTCTATACTGTCTTGATCTGTCATGTCTAGCCTGACCCTTGGGAAAACAACTTTGTTCCTTTGCCACATGAAGGCAAGTGTCTGCCTCAGCTGTGTAGCCTACCTATCCAAGGTTGGCTGATTCTGAGCTGTCTCAGCTCTGAGGCAAATGCTACCCCCTTAGCTTGCACTAAGGCTTTTTCAGAAGCATCTGCCAATTGCACTTGTCACTCAGTCGTGCTGGAGCCCTCTCACCTTATACTCTCCCATGCATGGGACAGTAACCAAACTTGCACTTGGGTCTGCCTGTTTAGAATGGGCCTCTCTGGGGTAAACTGATCCAGTGGAATAGGGTTGGATACTTTGGGTTTTCAGACACATGTTTGGCTGCATTCTGGGGAAAAAAAAAAAACAACTGATCTAAATAAAGGCACGTGTACAGCTGGTTCCACTGTTTTGTTTTGTTGTGTGTAGATCAGCAGGGCTGAATGCATTCTAATTATGCCCTCAATCACCTACAGAAAGCCCTAGTCTCAGAATAGAAAATGGAAAACAGAAACACAAAACCTCAAGCCCTACTTAAGTCATTGCTAGGCACAATGTAATCCCAGTGATTTGGGAGGCTGAGGCAAGACTGAAAGTTCAAAGCCAGCCTCAGCAACTTAGGCCCTATCTCAAAAAATAAAAAGCCTAGTAGTAAAGTGCCCCTTGCACTTTTTTTCATCCCCAGCGGGGGGAAAAAAAAGTCACATATATTGCTTTTTTTGTTTTGTTACTAGGGATTGAACTTAGGGGCACTTTACCACTGAGCTACATCCCTGGCCTTTAAAAAAAAAATATTTTAGAGACAGGATCTCACTGAGTTGCTTAGTGCCTCACTAAGATGCTGAGACTGGCTTTGAACTCTTGATCTTCCTGCCTCAGCCTCCCAAGCCACTAGGATTACAGGCATGAGCCCTTATGCCTGGCTATTAAAATTTCTTGAGCATAGGAATCACTCAGATAGTTCTAATACATATAATGAAGAAGGGGAATAACTGCTGGAGTATTGGACATAAAAAATTAAGAACATATTATGTAAAATTTTGGGGTGGGAACAGTGCTACAGCTTGAACTCAGGGCCTCATGCCCTACCACTGAACTGTATGTTGTACATAATTATGAAACCATATATTAAATATAATTTTAATGTGATTTTTTTCCTCACTTATTTCAATGTATTTAGGTGTAAAAATTTTAAGCATTTTATAATTCTATCTAGGATAAATTTTGACATAAGATGTAAAAGTAAAAATTAAGAATAATATTTGTGGGAAAGACCAAGGGGGGATATATATTAGTGGTAGTATGATATAAGCATCTTGTGGTTTTCCACCTAATTTCCCTTTTCTCTAGCCAACAGGAAAGGGTTGACTATGAATATGCAGACAAGGTAACAAAAGTAAACAGCTGATTAGTAAAAATTACTTTATTTTCCTCTCGTATTTGCTTTATATCTTGCTTTACAAAGTTATGAAGTTCACAGCTTTATACCAAAACGTAAGAAGACTAGGCTATTTGCTTATAAACATTTCTGCGGTCAAGTATTTCATTCTTATCCATATTCAATATTTTAAAAATCTGAAATCAAGGGTGCTGGAGCAGCTCTAGGGCATATATTTATCTTTAACAGGAGAAAGATCTTCAACAGCCTTTCTTGACCCCCTCTGTACCCAATTCACTGGTGTACTATCTTAAATTTAGAGTAACTCTGGGAAACTTCAGTCACTATATGACTGAAGTTAAATTTAGAGTAACTCTGGGAAACTTCAGTCACTATATGACCCAGCAGGTCATAGTTGGGTTGAAGGTGAAGTTAGAAGCTGGTGTCTATAACAGTAAGTCTGATTTAAATGAGGATTCCTCATCCACTTGTATGGAACTCACAGCCCAAATTGCCTCCATCACAGCCTCTTTCCTATCCATAAGATCTCTTCTCTTAAACCCTGAGGGTCCTACTGACTTGTGGCAGGGATAAAACCACTGTTTTATAAAAGTGGCAGGTGCGGCCTTCATAATAATGCTAGGAGCTCTCCTTTAGGTAACAGAATCAAAATTTAGAAGAAAGCCTACGTAAACTGCAATTATTTGAGCAAACCAGAGTGTACAGGCTGTCCAAATCCCACTTTACAATATACTTCAGTCTTTTCCAATGAAAATTCCATGCCATTCCTCTACTCCCACCAAACTGGCCACATGCCTAAGTCACTAAAGTTGTTCAGAAAAAAGAACAAAATGAAACTTTTATTAAGCAAATAATCACTTAAGCAGAAACAGTTTTGTCTATAAACTGTATGTAGGTAATGAGCTAAACACTCAACTTCTAATTCTTAGAATTTTTTCCCCACCAAAGAAGGAGTGTAAAAGTAATGACTTGCTCTCAAATTTGAATAACATCAGGTCAAGATAACTCTTCGCTCTTTTTGTTTCCACTGTTTGTTTTGTAACTGAGGAATATGCCAAAATATTTTTTGAATTTAATTAAATTTTTGCATAAAATTTGAAGTGACTGATATTTTATCAGAACTGCCATTAAAACATTAGCATATGCTAGTACACATTTTAGCAGTCAAGTGTTTCATTCTTATCCATAGTCAATATTTAAAAAGTCTGAAACCAAGGGTGCTGGAGCAGCTCAAGGGCATATACATCTTTAATAGAAGAAAGATCTTCAACAGCCTTTCTAAAATAATTTATGGTTTTCTTGGCTCTGAGCTGTTAGAATAGGCACAAACAATTAAAAATCACATTCTACAAATGGCCTCCAATTACTTATAAGAAACGTGCCTGTTCTGTCAGGTTGTTAAACTATGTCCTTCCTCTTGAAGCCTCTAAACAGCAGAATCAGCACAGACCCTGAGCCACAGCTCTTCTGTAAGGGGAAAGAAGCGACAGCTGTAACAATATCGTGGAGAACCTAAAAAACAGCGAAAGTTTTGCATAACTTAAGGCGCTTAAAGGTGATAACACAACCATAAACAACTGAAATGCTTATGGTCCCTTTATTTCTCAACAGAGGGCTAGACAGTTCATTCTAGATAACACTTGAACCTGATGTTAGAATATCACATGTTCTTAAAATGAACACATTACTACCACTTTTTCAAAGAAATCTTTTGTGAAATAAAAAATACCACAAGCACAGGTGCCCACCCATATATATGCATACAAAGGAACTTTCACACATACATATCCAGAGGTAGATACATGCACATGAGTCTACCAAGTTAAATCCAAATCACACTTCTTACCTATCCTACCAGTCTGCAATACCCTCAAAGGTTCCCCTTGACTGCCCAACACTTTACATTCCCCTTTCCTGCTATACAAAAGTTCCACCATGGTTGTTTCAGACACATCCTTGGGCAGAACAGAGCACCTATGCACCAGGCTTTCTTAGCACACTGCCCTGCCAATGTGGAAATGCAGTCACTGCAGTTCAGAAAAAGACCAGGTTTAGCAACAAATCCAAAATGACTTTCCTGGAAATTACTATTTCCAAGCTCTGAACAGTGTGGTTTCTCTTGTTACCCTTACAGGAAATGGAGGTGAGAGGCAGGAAAAGCTTTTAATCCCACACAGAAACAGTGCAAATATACTTTATCAAGAGGATCTTCTCTGTTCTCTATACAGCATCATGCAAACCTAAATATGTGGTTAACAAGAGTTTTCCACTCACAAGCACAGAAATAGCTTGTGGAGCCATCCATTATCTGGTAGTAGCTCCTACATTAGTTCTTAACATTTTCTAGATCCAGTAACAACCACTAGAACCTTTCCTGGAAAAAAAACCACATTCTTAGTCTTGTATACAATTTCAGGGGAGTTTCAGTCCCTCTTGCACCTGTCTATGAGCCCCTGGGGAAGCCCCTACTCTGGAACTTGAGGGAAGGATACTCAAAGACATGTGCACTAACAGGGGATAAACTTGGATGCTGGCAATCCTAAGAAACTGTAGGTGTCACACACCCTGTAGCTCAGTAAGTGAACAGGGCTCCTCCCTCTCCTTTTCTTGGCCTCTTTGAAGAATCTGAGTTTTGAGAATTCAGAAACAAAAGGTTAGAAAGTAATATATGTATAGCTTTACTGGTAAGAGTCTAGAGAAAATCTAGAAACAAAGCAGTTCCACTAAGTCTTTGGTGATTTGGATGTTTCCAATGGACACAGCCTTTCCTTTCACCATAATCCTCTCCTCTCCCAGCTAGCAGGGAAGTGAAAGTAAAGACACTGGCTTCAGAAATAAGTCTCTAATAAGCCTGCCTGAGGCCCTAAAAATTATATCCAGATGCTTTATTCTAACTCTCCCTTCTTGGGTGCTGCAGTTGGGTTGAAATCACTCTGTGAGTCCAAAGGAATACTTGATTTGCCATCAGTATGGGTTCAACAGTAAGAGATGGGGGTAGGCAATAAAGTAAACCAAAAGGTTTCAAACCCACAAGAAGTTTGGAGAGTCAGAAATTTGGGGAGACAAATATACACTTCCAGTTCAAACAGCCTGAAAATATCTGTAGCAGTGAGCAGCACCCAAGTCTAACAGCAAAACAGAAAAGTAGACAGACATTAGGTTGGCACGTTTCTTCACACTGAGCACTTTATCAAAATTTGCACTGAAGTTCACTAGGGAAAGCAACTTGAAAGGAGTTACATAATGGGACTTAAACATTTGAATTTCTAAAATAGTGAACAGAGCAGTTATTCTAGCTATTTATAAAAAATCTGTGTGTCCGTTAGCATTTAAAGTCAGTTCTGTCCATCTACAAAGCAGGTGATTAGTGAAACACACTGCACATAATTTTTAAGAAAGGAAATGATTTGCTTACAATTTAAATATCCAGTTGTTTTAACTGGAGAAATTAAAACTAATCCTGAAAACCTACCATTTGAACAAAATGTATTTAAAAGCCTGACTACAGGTCTAAACCATCATAAGAACATACACTTGAAATCACAAACTGAAATCAACAAAATATGTTTGTATGATTAGGATCAAACTAGGTAACCAACTAAGATCTGGATATTCAATGAACATCTGAAGAATGGTAGCAGCATAAATCACTAAATGTCATGCAGTCACAGAGGATGGTTCCTTAAAATCTGTTTGACTGTTTAAACCCTCCAGCATGAACTTGAAGTGTACTCTATCAACCCACAGAGCTGCCCAGACTTATGCTAGTTGTTAGCCTGACTGCTAACCCCCTTTCTCCTTCCCCATTTCACCGGAGAAAGGAAGACAGTGGCTAGTGTGAGGGGCCTATGTGAAAACAGTTCAACTACTAATGTAATGACTTCCCAACATGGGAGGCAAAAAACTTCATGAATCAATTTTGCTGTCATCTTCAGCATGTCGTTCAATGTGTCCTGCAGCATCCTGAGGAAAAGGGAGAAGGGCTATGAGAGACAAGTTGGTGATAGAACAGAAGAAAGCCAAAGCCAAGTTAAGCCATTATATAAAATAAGTTTTATATGGGATTCATACCTGAAGACAGTTAGGAGCTGGCACTTTGCTAATTTATATGAAAGTATGCACTTATGGACTTAAAAAAACTCTTGTGTTAAAGAGTTCTTGTCCTGGGGGCTGGGGATGTGGCTCAAGCGGTAATGTGCTTGCCTGGCATGCATGGGGCAATGGGTTCGATCCTCAGCACCACATAAAAATAAAGATGCTGTGTCCACCAAAAACTAAAAATAAATATTAAAAAATTCTCTCTCTTTCTTGTCCTAACACAGGAAGTTCTGTTATTGATTTGAAACATCTGAAAACATTCCCCTAAGCTCTTTCTCAAAACCTACATAATTACTTTGAAAATCTCATTGAATTATTCCCCAAGTCTCTGAATAAAAAGAAATTCCTCAGCCCTCCTCCTATTTATTAAGAGTGTCCATAATTTCAATAAAGTAAAGATTTGCCAGCCTCTGCTCTGAGCAGTCTAAACCCCAGTTAACCTTGAATCCCACTCATGTACCTGCTTGGATCCTTTCCTAGCAGTGAAAAAAGCATCACAGTTCTTCCAGCGACATTTCAGAGTCTGAAAGTTTGGATTAGTGTGATCAGTCAGCAAATGTTGTTTTAAGTGATCTATAACACCAAATATCAGAGAGCAACCATGCCACTGCAAAGGAAGAGAATGAGGAGACTAGGTAAAGAAAAGCACAGTAAAAAACAAAACAAAACACCCCAAAACAACAAAAAACAGAAAGAACACAGTAAACATATGATCACAACATCCCTTGTTTTATTCCATAAATACTACGGAAGCAAAAAGTACACCCCTTATTTTTTTATTTTTGGCTATAAACATAGCAGGGCCAGAGGCAACCAAATTATCAATATAATGAGGACCCCGAAGGACTGAGAAATCTTTTGATACTTTGGTATTTTGAGAAGATAAAACACTAAGGTAGCCATTACATCTTGTTAGGGGAAAAATTAGCAAATATATATAAATGAACAAGCATAAATTCAGTTCAAATCATAGTCTTGACCTTGCCATCATAAAACAGAATTTCGATCTTAGACTATTTATTACAAAAGGTAAATAATTTTCCTGTAATACTAAAAGGGATATGTTTAATAATCCTAAGAACTGATGACTTGTAAACTTGGAAATAAAAATGTCTTATAAAGAAAACTACATTTGTGGAAATATTTGTTGTCATGGAAGCCTGACTTTTCTCACAACGTTTTATCATTTGAATCATAATCTTTACCTACTTAAAAAATTATTTATGTATTTTTAGTTTTAGGTGAACACGTTTTGTTTTTATATGGTGCCAAGGATCAAACCCAGTGCCTCATGCATGCTAGGTGAGCACTCTACCACTGAGCCACATCCCCAGCCCCTTATTACCTACTTTTTTTTTTAAAAAGTGTAACTTTACTTGTAAATGTGGCTCATTTTCATTATTAGTCAGAAAAGCATAAAAACTGGCTTAGCATTTTCCCTGTAACTTG